TAAATGATATCATGGGGATTCCGTCAGTAAAACGTTTTCTGTGGGAAACTATAGACTTGCTACTGTGAGTGTAGTCAGTGGATCAACAGCATCGGCATCAACCATGAGCTTTTTATAAATGGAGACTCTCAGGCCCCATCCCAGACCTATTAAATCAGAATCTACATTTTTAACAATGTTTCCAGGTGATTCATATGCACTTTTTTTTTCTGCTCTGTACCTTTGTCATCACATGTACATTTAAAGCTTGAGTAACACCGCTTTACGAGATAAATAATCCAGAGTCTTCAACAAAGAGATTATAAGAAAAAAAATGAGATGGAGGGGCAACCTGTTGATGAAAAGAGATTTAGGAGGCATATTAATATTAATCATCCACAAGTAGAGACCTTATTTGGATTTCATTTAAACAAACACAAATTTAAAAGTTGTGAAAAAATTAGGCAATATCTTGGATATGCTTCAAAATAAGCATATTTGTTGATAGAGAAAAATAGGTAGGGATGTAGATGAAACAGGGTTGGCTATGACATGCAAATTGTTGGGGCTGGGTGATGGGTATAAGGAGGTTTACTATTTTAATTTTTTTTTTTATGAAGAAAAGAGGTTTAATTGATTCACATTTTCACAGGGTGTACAGGAAGCCTGGCTGGGGAGGTCTCAGGAAGCTTATAATCATGGCAGAAGGTGAAGGGGAAACAGGCACATCTTCACATGGTGGAGCAGGATAGAGGGTGAAGGGGGAAGTGCTACGTACTCTTTAACAACCAAATCTTATGGGAACTCACTGTCATGAGAACAGCAAAGGGGAAGTCTGCTCCCATAGTCCAGTCATCTCCCACTGGGTGCCCCCTCCAACATTGAGGATTACAGTTCGACATGAGATTTGAGTGGGAACACAGAGCCAAACCATATCATTCCACATCTAGCCCCTCCCAAATCTCATGTCCTTGTCACATTTCAAAGCACAGTCATGGCTTCCAAACAGACCCCCAATGTCTTAACTCATTCTAGCATTAACTCAAAAGTCCAAGTCCAAAGTCTCATCTGGGACAAGGCATGTCTTTTTGCCTATGAGCCTGTAAAACCAAAAACAAATTAGTTACCTCCAAGATACAATGGTGGTACAGGCATTGGGCAAATGTTCCCATTCCAACAGGGAGAAATTGGCCAAAACAAAGGGGCTACAGACCCCATGCAAGTCCAAAACCCGGAAAGGCAGTCATTAAATTTTAAAGCTCCAAAATAATTTTATTTGACTCCATGTCTCACATCCAAGCACACTGATGCAATAGGTAGGCTCCCAAGACCTTGGGCATCTATGCTCCTTTGGCTCTACAGGGTACAGCCCCCTTGGTTGCTTTCATGGGCTAGTGTTGAGTGCCTATGGCTTTTCTAGGCACATGGTGCAAGCCGTCAGTGGGTCTACCATTCTGAGTTCTGGAGGATGGTGACTTTTTTCTCACAACTCCACTAGGCAGTGCTCCAGTGGGGACTTTTTGTGGGGGCTGCAACCCCACATTTCCCCTCCACATTGCTTAGTAGATTCTCCATGAGGGCTCTGCCCCTGTAGCCGACTTCTGCCTGGATATCCAGACATTTCTCTACATTCTCTGATGGCTGTTGGGAGGCTCCCAAAATTTTGTGTATTTAATTTTTTTCTATAATAGCTTTAAATGGGTGGGCCACTACAATGGCTGTAATAAAAAAGATAGTAACAAGTGTTGGTGAGGATGTGGGAAAAATTGGAATCTTTATACATTGCTGGTGGGAATGTAAAATGGTATAGTTGCTTTGGAAAACAGTCTGGCATTTCCTCAAAAGATTAAGCATAGGGTTATATGACCCAGCAATTCTGCTCCTAGGTATATACCTAAGAGAAATGGAAATGTATACTCACACAAAAACTTGTGCAGGAATGTTCATGGCATCTTTTAAAAATAATAGCCAAAAGTGGAAATAATCCAAATGCCCATCCACTGATGAACGGATACATAAAATGTGGTATGTCCATGCAATGGAATACTATTTGGCAATAAAAAGGAATGAAGTACTAATACATGTTTCGACATGAATGAACCTTGAAAGCATTATGTTAAATGAAAGAAGCCAGTTACAAAGACTGTGTATTGTGATTGCATTTATGAGCAATGTCCGGAATAGGCAAATTTATAGAGACAGAAAGTAGATTAGTAGTTGCCAAAGGATGGGGGAGGTTTGGGGGGGAATGGGGAATCACCACCTATTGGTCAGGGGTTGCTTTTTGGGGTGATGAAAATATTCTAAAATTGATTGTAGTGATGGTTGTACAATTTTATGAATACATAAAAATCACTGAATTGTAGGCCAGGCATGGTGGCTCACACCTGTAATCCCAGCCCTTTGGGAGGCCAAGGTGGGTGGATCACTTGAGCCAGGAGTTCAAGTCCAGCTTGGCCAACATGGGGAAACCCTGTCTCTAGTAAAACTACAAAAATTAGCTGAGTGTGGTGGCATGCACCTGTAGTGCCAGGTACTGGAGAGGCTGAGGCACAAGAATTGCTTAAACCTGGGAACTGGAGGTTGCAGAGATCTGAGATTGCACCACTGCACTATCCTGGGCAACAGAGCGAGACTCTGTCTCAAAAATAAATAACCGAATTGTATACTTTAAATGATAAATTGTAAAGCTGGGTGCAGTGGCAAGCATCCTTAGTTCCTGCTACTTGGGAGGCCAAGACAGGAGGATCTCTTGAGCCCGAGAGTTTGAGTCCAATATTAATCACAACTGATCATAGTTGTTGGGAGGAAAGTTTGGACTAGGTTACTCCTGAAACTAGGTGATTCTAATGTGCAACCAGGGTTGAGACCCACTCTTTTTTTTCTTTTTTTTTTTTAATTTTTAAAAATTTTACTTTAAGTTCCTGGATGCACGTGCAGAATGTCCAGGTTTGTTACATAGATATACATGTGCTGTGGTGGTTTGCTGCACTTATCAACCTGTCATCTAGGTTTTAAGCGCCACATGAATTTGGTATTTGTCCTAATGCTCTCCCTCTCCTTGTCCCTCACCCCCTGACAGGCTCCAATGTGTGTTGTTCCCCTCCCTGTGTCCATTGTGTTCTCATTGTTCAACTCCCACTTATGAGTGAGAACATGCAGTGTTTGGTTATGTGTTCCTGTGTTAGTTTGCTGAGAATGATGGCTTCCAGCTTCATCCAGGTCCCTGCAAAGGACATGAACTCAGTCTTTGATGGCTGCATAGTATTCCATGGTGTATATGTGCCACATTTTCTTTTACCAGTCTATCATTGATGGACATTTGGATTGGTTCCAAATCTTTGCTATTGTAAATAGTGCTGCAGTAAACATATGTGTGCTTGTGTCTTTATAGTAGAATGATTTATAATCCTTTGGGTATATACTCAGTAGTGGGATTGGTGGGTCAGATGGTATTTCTGTTTCTAGATCCCTGAGGAATTGCTACACTGTCTTCCAAAATGGTTGAACTAATTTACACTCCCACCAACAGTGTAAAAGCATTCCTGTTTCTCCACGGCCTTGCCAACATCTATTGTTTCCTGACTTTTTTAGTAATCGCCATTCTGACTGGCGTGAGATGGTATCTCATTGTGGTTTTGATTTGCATTTCTCTAATGATTGGTGATATTGAGCTTTTTTTCATATGTTAGTTGACTGCATAAATGTCTTCTTTTGAGAAGGGAGACCCACTCTTATAGAGAGTTAACTATTTAGGATTATTAGAGGAGAGAGGAAATATATGGCAACCTGGAGGGAAAGCCCCGGGAATGACATCATAGTTGACCTGGAAGAGACAAAAATCTATAGGAAGGAACTTCTGGGTAAATGTAATCTGTCGCTGTAGTATTTATTGGATTAGAACTACATATGTGAAATTCTTTCTCGTCTCCAATAAGTCTGTTAGTTCAGGATTGAAACTTTTAGGTGTTATACCTATTGGTATACTGACTATTAAATTACTCAAAGTGAACACAAATGTTATCAGTGAAAGTTTTCAGTACTAATTTATAGTCCAGAAACAGTCTACAAATTAATGGACTGGATGTGGTGGTTCACGCCTGTAATCCCAGCACTTTTGGAGGCTGAGGCAGGAGGATTGCTTGGCCAGGAGTTTGAGACCAGCCTGGGCAACACAGCAAGACCCTGTCTGTAAATAAAATAAAATTAAGTTAAATTAATTGAGTTCCCATAAGTTTCTTTTTTCCAGAGAGTGTTCTAGATATTAGTGCAATCTTTTCTTTAAGAAAACAACCCTTACATTGTTACCTTGCCCCAGGTGAGTAGAAATAAAGCTGACTATTATTATTCCCATTTCTCTTCAAAAGCATTTACTGGTCAGATAACAGCCTTCTATATTATTAGACTGGGCAGCAGAGAGGGAACCTGCAGATGTGCTGAAGATGGTGTTTGGCTTTTGAAGGGAAGCCATGGAGAACTGACCTTGAATTCTGGTTTGATTGCTCCTGGGCAAATCATTGATCACCTTGAACCTTTAGTTTCCTTAGCTCATGAATGACGTTTATACTAGGTTACTCCTGAAACTTCTACAATGTTATAGTTCACTATATCCATCTGCCACTTCCTGACTCTGTGACTTTGGGCAAGCTGGTTAACCTGTTTATACCTTAGTTCTCTCATCCATAAAATGGGGATGAATGATAGCATGTACCTCATGGGTTTCTTTACTATGACATGTTTGGAGCTGTCTAGCCTATGGTAGTAGTATTGTTTTATTCTAGACAAGGCTCTCAAATTCAGGCATGCTTAGAATTTGAATCTGTTACTACAAACTACAGTGTTATGGCTCTTATTCCATGTGATTTCTATGGAAAGATATAAAACAACTATGTAAAAGTGTCTGGACAGTATATAGGAAGTTTTGAATGGAAAATACTCTCCAGTATTTGATGAAGCATATTAGATGTCCTAATCCTACTTTTCCCCTTACTTATGTCTCCCTATTGTGTATCCTCACATAGGTCAGTTCTACTTGGGTCTCGGGGACTTGACATATCCCACATCTCCCAGCGATTGGAGAGTCTGAGTGCAGCCACCACCTTTGAGCCTCTTGAGCCCGTGAAGGACACTGACATTCAGGTAAGGACTGCCAAGTGCAGGTGGAACCCAGAGCATATAACCCAGGCTGAAGACCCTGGCCCTTTATTAACCAGCTGATTAAGGAATTTCAGTTTTCTTTGTTAATTTTCTTCTTCCTCAAATATTAAGAGAACAGTAGATTCAGCTTTGGAGGTATAGTGGAAAACATTGGGTTATTTTCAGAGCTCTCTGTGTAGCTGAATTTAAGAAAGCAATTCCAACCTGCACTTTTTAGATTATTATAATTAGGAGAACAGATTTCTCTTCTTTCCTTGGGTTTAATCCAAGGCTCAGAGACATTAGTCTCAAGTTTCTTTCGCTTTCTTTGCTGGATCTCAAATAATTTTACTATTCGTCTTCCACATTTCTTTTTTACATCTTGCTTGTATTGGTTGGCAAAGAGCTGGGGAAAACTTAGAGTACTATTTACTGAAACCTACTCAATGATTTCCAAGAAGTGTTTGGCTGCATTAGTGGCACCAGGAAATAGTCTAATAGAGCACTCCAGTCTCATTTAACCAAACATGCCACTAGCAATCAATAGCTGTTTTAATCTAATCAGAAACTGACATAAAATTGTTAAGGAAAAAACTCACAGTCTGTTTAGTTTTTGAGGAATTGGAACACTGCATTTGCATTAGTGAAGGGACAGTGGGGCACCATTTTATTTTTTTATCGTTGATTTACCTGAAAATGAAAGGATGCCTCCTGCAGAGGCAAATTCTAGTAGAAATGGGCAATATTATTTGGGCTCAATTTGAATTAACACTCTTTACCCCAGTACCCTTCCTAAGAACCATTTTAGTCCATCTAATGGCCACATTTCTACTGCATTTATTTGAATTCAGAAACCTAAAAGTGTACTTTGAGTTGAGAGTTGAAGAACTATAGATATTTTTCCTATTGCTGCTATGTTCCCAAAGTATGAAAATCCAGTTTTTCCAGTTTTATATGCTAAATCATATTTGCCTGTCAACTTATAATTGCCTTCTCATTTCCATGTAATCTTAAAATGGCATGTATACCTTTTAAACTTTTTTTTAAGTTTTAGCTCCCCTCCCCCATACAACTGCTTGAGGCTATCTATTAACAAATACGTATAACAGGGATGAATAATCACCATATATTTTGGGAGTATTCCTAATAATGTGGAAAGAAATGGCACCTGCTGAAAGGGTTTTTGTTTGTTTTTAATGTTGAAAATACCAAAGAAATTGTTTGTTTGAAAAACAAAGTGTTTTTTACATTTTCTTTGATATTCTTGGAGTAGATATTTTGAATACTCAACAGCATTTTGTGCTGCACTTCATGCATTTCCAGTGATGTGAAACTCCATTTTTTTTACCTTAAGGTATTGACAGGTTTGTAAATGTATTGAGTCATAATGATCATCTCATGTAACCTTGTACTTAATCAAGAATACCCTCCTTCAACACTGCCGTTAGATGGTTTTCTGACAATATATGCTCAGTTACATCAAAGAGAATTTCTTAATTTGCAAAGAGCGCACCAGAGCTTTGGTCCTGTACCACTGAGAAATCTTTGAACTTTGAGATTAAGGATGCTTCCTTTTCAAAAGTTCACCTCTTGGCCAGGCACAGTAGCTCATGCCTCTAATCCCAGCATGGTAGGAGGCTAAGGTGGGAGGATTGTTTGAGCCTAGGAGTTCAAGACCAGCTTGGGCAACATAGTGATACCCCCTGTATTTGGCCATTCTTGCATTGCTATAAAGATATACCTGAGACTGGGTAATATATAAAGAAAAGAGGTTGAATTGGCTCATGGTTCTGCAGGCTGTACAAGAAGCACAGCACCAGCATCTGCTTCTGGGGAGGCCTCAGGGAGCTTTTACTCATGGCAAAAGGTGAAGTGGGAGCTTGCACGTCACATGGTAAAAGCAGGAGCTAGAAAGAGTTGGACGGGGTGGCGGGGGGCGGGCAGTGGGTGCCACACACTTTCAAACACCAGATCTTATAAGAACTCACTGTTATAAGGACAGCACCAAGAGGATGGTATTAAACCATTCATGAGAAATCTGCTCCCATGATCCAGTCACCTCCCACCAGGCCCCACCCCCAACATTGGGGATTACAGTTCAACATGAGATTTGGCAGGGACATGTATTCAAACTATGTCACTCTGTCTCTACAAAGATAAAAAATTATCGGGGTATGCTGGCGCACTCCTGTAGTCCCAGCTACAGCGGTAGCCTGAGGTGGGAACATCACTTGAGTCCAGGAGGTTGAGGTTGAGGCTGCAGTGAGTCCTTCCTGTGTGCACCACTGTACTTAAGTCTGGGTGACAGAGCAAGACCCTGTCTCAAAAACAAAAAACAACTCACCTCTTCGTTGTGCTGTTCCAGAATAACTTCAAAAATGCAAAATGGTCAGTCCAAGATAACTTTTGATTAATTAGGAATTGATCATCTAGACCTGAAGTAAGTTTAAGGCTTACTAGTTTTGAAATGAGTTCTCTGTTGACTTCATCTTCTTGCCAGCAAAGGCTTAAAGGAGAAGATTTAGCTTTGGCCTGATCGGGGGAACTCTGTTTTATCAACAGGGATTGGAGGTTTTAAGTTGTATTGTGTGGTTCAATTGACCTGTGCTTAAACTTCTATACACATATCCTTCCCTGACTTCTTGTTTAGTAACCAAGTGTAAGAGCCAAGCCAGCTTGCACTCCTGGCACGGAGTGATCCTCCTCTTAATTCTTCTCATAATGTGTTGGTTATCCAAGAAGAGTAAACTTGGACATTTTCAGTGATTTGTCTTTAGAAAAGCCACATATACTATTTGATGGACTTTTTTTTCATTTCTTTTAATTGCTTAATTGAGATATAATTCACATACCATAAATCTGATGCACTCTTGTAATTGAACTTCTGTTTTTCAATCAGTACATTTTTTTGAGGTGAGAATGCACCCTAATTCCATGTGCTATCAGTCAGAGTGAAATTATTATGTCAGTTTATAAGCCACTTAAAGTACTGTTCATAAAAAGGAAATGCTGATGCATTCTTTGACAAATACTGTCCAGGACTTTGTACTGTCCATTGTTTGCATTACTTATAAGCTTAAAGGCATTTTGCCATGTATGCATTGTCCTTTTCTATTTGGTAAACATTGATTATATTTCCTTCTGCTTCTAATGGAGCTTGAAATTAATATGGGTTTTTGTTGTTACCATTTCGTTGTTTGTCATAATCAATAATGTTTGTGTGCATTGTGAATGCATTTTTTTTAAATTGCTGTGACCAGCAGAGGTAGTATATTAAAGAAATGCCACTAAAATATATGTATGGATGATACTAGTAGAATTTTTTTAATGTTTATTGATTTTATTTTTTGGAAATGGTCATAAAGAAGGCCTACATTTGTGTAATAGAGGTGAAGAGTGATAACAGGACATGCTGCTAAAAGAGCTGTACTGGATCTTTTCTAAATGACTTTGTAGTGCTTGGGAGTGTGTGTCCTGTCACAGAGATCCACTTGCTCACTTCTGTCTTTGGAGAAATAAATATTGAGGGCATATTGCACATCTTTACTGTGATCTGAACAGACCTAATGTATCATGGATAATGTATTATATAATAATAAAGTGCAAATGTACATAGTTCAGTTATATTCTGGGCTTTTTCACTAGATTGCATGTATATTTCAAGAAGTCTGTGCAGAAATAGCCTGAGTTGGCCATGAAAATGGGAGGTGCAGTTTCTCAGCATTAGGCTATAATATTTTTCAATGGCATTAGACTTTCAAAATAACTAAGAGTGGAATTGGAATGTTTCTAACATAAAGAAATGATAAAACACTTGAGGTGAAGGATATCCTGATTGCCGATTTGATCATTACACATTGTATGCTTGTATCAGAGTATCATGTATACAACATGAATAAATATAATTATGATGTATCCCTAATAATTAAAAATATTTTTAATGGCATTAGACCATTGTAGAGCAATAATAAATAATTGCCAAACTTTATTAAATTCCTAGGGATGCTGTAACAAAGTACTGCAAACTTGGTGGCCTAAAACAACAGAAGTTTATTCTGTCACAGTTCTGGAATCCTGAATTTTGAAATCAAGGTATTGGCAGCACCACATTCTCTCCATAGGCTCTAGGGGAGACTCCTTTCTCTTCTGGCTTCTGACTGGCTCCTGACATTCCTTGGCTTATGGCAGCATAACTTCAGTCTCTTCCTCCGTCTTCACAGGGTTCTTCCTTGTGTGTGTCAGGTCTACCTTTCATGTCATATAAGGACACCAGTCATTGGATTTAGGACCCACCGTAAATCCAGGATAATCTCTTCTTGAGATCCTTAATTACATTTGCAAACACCCTATTTCCAAGTAAGGTCACATTTACAAGGACCAGAGGTTGGGACCTGGATATATCTTTTTGTGGGACACACACTTCAACCCACTGTACTTATAGTGCCAGAAATTTTAAAACTGTTACTGTAAAGAATGAAGCATCTTCAAATCTAACTCCATTTCACATCCATGGGCAGTATTGGGAGAAGATATCCATTGCTAGTCGTTCAGTACTGCAGGTCCCAACTAAGTCTCTCTTGTCATCCTCATCATTCTCTTTTGAGCCTTTGGGAAATGAGGGTGACTACTTATCTCTGATTTCAGAATTTAATAGTAGTTACTCTTTCTAAACATGTTAACAGTCTGTAATGTATTTGAGAGGTGTATCTAGAGACATTTTTCAACTAGAAACTCTCTGCTTCTTAAAGTATTAAATATGTAGTTTTTAAGGTAAGTATAGATGGCATTAAGTTTTGGCATTTTTCCAAGGTAGAAGGAACTGCTTGTGTGTGTATATATATGTAAATACCCAACCCATTCTTTTTTCTTTTATAACTTATATCTTTGCTCACTGCCTTCACTTGTCCTGGAACATCCAAGCCCTAATTTCAGTCTAAGACCCTAAGGCTTTCCTTAGATGTCACCTCTTCCCTAGTCTTAATAGACCTGTCTTCCCCACAGCC